GGTCCGTGGCCCAGAAGAGGAAATCGGAGACGGGGAGGAAGCAGGGGCTGGTAGGAAGGCAGGAGGAGGAGCAGGAGGAACAGGAGGAGGAGGAGGGAGAGGAGGAGGAGGGAGAGCCAGCAGCCGCCCTGGGCCGGGGCTGCGGGGCGGCGCCGGGAGGCCTCCCGGGGAGGCTGAGGCCGCGGCGGGGCCGGGGCGCCGGCTGCACGGCGCGGCCTGGGGCTCGGGCTCGGCCAGGCCGGGGGGCCGGGCGCTCCGGACGGAAGGCGGCCCCCGGCTCCGCGTCCCGTCAACACAGACGCCGGCGGGGGCGGCGCCAGGCCGGCGGGGCTCGGAGGAGGCCCCCGCCCGCCGGCAGCCGGTCCGCAGGCCCCGCCGCGCCTCCCCCGGCCTCCGCCGGCCGGCCGGGCCGCGCGCGCCGAGTACCTGGAGGGTTGACGTTGTCATTTCATCTCCTGGGTCCGCCTCACACCCCGCGGCGCTGCTGGCGGCCTCGGTGCGGCCTCGGGGAGCCGAGGTGCTGGGTGCGGCGCGGGGAGCCCGATGGGTCCGCGCCGGGCGCGGGGAGCGGTGGCCGCTGGCAGCGGGAGGGAGTCCGGGGACGAGCGACGAGCGCGGCCCAGAGCGGTCGAGCCCGAGCGGCGCGGCTGCCCCCTGGCGGCCACGGTCCACACTGCAGGCGCCGCTCTCCGCGGCCACCGGCCGCCCCGGCCAGAACCGGGCCAACCGGGCTGGTGGGCCCGGGAGTGGGGCGGGGCGAGGCGAGGGGGCGGGGCCATAGGCAGGGCGGGGCAGAATCCTCAGGCCCCAGACCCCACTTCCAATAAAGCAGTGCCCGTGGCCAGTTCTTTAGTTCTCAGAGCTTTGTGTTCCGCGTGTTTAATAGGGAATGCTAACAATCAGGATCCACCTTTTCTAGCTTTTGAGAGTATTGAAGGAGCTAGCTAATGAAAACATAGTGTACCCTACAGTGTTATCAGTTCCTAGTAACTTAGGATGTCTAAAAGTAGTTTTGTTCTTTAATCTTCACCGAGAATATGTTCTTTTCTTTTTAAATATATTTTATTGATTTTTTTACAGAAAGGAAGAGAGAGGGATAGAGAGTTAGAAACATCAATGAGAATTATCGATCAGCTGCCTCTTGCACACCTCCCCACTGGAGATGTGCCCGCAACCAAGGTACATGCCCTTGACCAGAATCGAACCTGGGACCTTTCAGTCCGCAGGCCGAGGCTCTATCCACTGAACCAATCTGGTTTCGGTGAGGATATGTTCTTATTTGTTTTTAAATAGAGTGGGAAAGGGGGAGAGAGAGAAAAACATGAAATGGGCGGCTCCTGTTCACACCTACAACCTTGGTATGTGTTCTGACGAGGTATCGAACCCGCAACCTTTTGGTGCACTGGATGATGTTCCAGCCAACTGAGCCACGTTCCTTCAGTTCTACAATATTTCATCAGTGTGGGCTACTTCGGAGCTCTGTGTAGATGTTTCTGGGGACACAGCAATGATGGACACAGCTCCAGGAGAGCCTGCAGTCTGAGGAGAAAGGGGATGAGCATCAGGGAAAGTTATGGAACAAGCATGTTGAGGCTCGTGTGCGAAGGCCCGTTGCCCTGTGGGCTTCTAACAGGCAACCTGCCCAAGGTAGGGGGTCGGGAAAGCCTCCCGGTAGAAGAGCATTCCTGGCTGATGGAACAGCCTGTGCAAAGGCCCCGAGGCCCCGAGGAGGCCACGGGTGGAATTTAAGAAACTGTTAGAAGGCTCAGGTGGCCAGAGAGCAGAAAGTAGTAAGTCAAAGCCTGATGTCCCCTGGTGTTTGCAGGTAGGGTAGGGGTGAGAACATTTGGCTATGGCCAAGATTTTGGGTTTTATCCTAAACCTAAGGACAATGGGAAACTGATCATTTGTTTTTGGATGGATGACTCTAGCCCTCCTATGCAGAACTGATTGCGGAGATGGGATGGCTAGTATGCATGTAGCTACTGCCTTAGTCCAGAAGAGTGAGGGGTGAGGGAAGCCTGGTCTGGGAGGAGAGGGGCATGGAGAGATGCGCACAGAAAGGGGAGGTTTTGGAAGACAAATTTTAAGCGCTTGGAAATGGATTAGATAAGGGGTATGGTGAGGGCTGGAGGGACAGAGATAACTCCTGGGTTGCTGGCTTTGGCACCTGGACCAATAGTAATGCTACTGAGATGGGGACTCTGGACAAAGACTAGATCTGGGGGCTTGTGGAGGAGGGATGAGGGGGTTGAGGCGCCTCTGAAGTATCAATAGTCAGATATATGCATCTGGAAGCCAGAAGAAAGAGGAGGGCTGGAGAGGCACATCTGTGAGACATCTGGGTGTCTGTGGGAATGGAAGCTGCGAATCAGATCTCCCCGGGAAGAGCAGAGGGTAGGGGGAGCCTAGGGCAGAGCTTGGAGGTTTGTTGGCCAGCCAGAGGAGGAAGAGCCTGCAAAAGCAGCTCTGAAAGACAGCCAGAAACAAGGACAGACAGAAGAGTATTGGAAGTCAGGGGCGGGGGCGGGAGGACTGTGGGGAAGGAGAGAGGAGCACGGTACCTAATGCTGCTGAGAAAGCAGACAGTGACATATGTAAGGTACTGACGATGACCTCAGCCAGAGAGGAGGAAGTGATGGAGGCAGAGCCACACTGCAGAGGGCCACAAGTGAGTGGGACAAGAGGGATGAAGTCCATGAGGAGGCACAGCTTTCAAGGAGTTTGGGGAAAAGAGAGGGAGGCCTAGAACAACAGCTGCAGGAATTGTGGGTCCGGAAGGAGTTTCTGATGGTTGTTAATGTGAGAAGAGCTGAACATGTTTGAAAAACCAATAGGGCCGGCCGGCGTGGCTCACTGGTTGAGTGTCCATCTGTGAACCAGGAGGTCACAGTTTGATTCCAAGTCAGGGCACATGCCCAGGTTGTGGGTTTGGTCCCCACTGGGTGGCATACAGGAAGCAGCCGATCAGTGGTTCTCTCTCAATATTGATGTTTCTATCCTTCTCTCTCCCCCTTACTCTCTGAAATCAATAAAAGTATTTTAAAAATATTTTTTATTGATTTTTTACAGAGAGGAAGGGAGAGAGACAGAGAGCTAGAAACATCAATGAGAAACACCCACCAGCTGCCTCCCGCACAACCCCCACTGGGGATGTGCCCGCAACCAATGTACATGCCCTTAACTGGAATCGAACCTGGGACCCTTCAGTCCACAGACCGATGCTCTATCCATTGAGCCAAACCGGTTTCGGCCAATAAAAGTATTTTTTTAAAAAACAACAAAACCAACCAACCAACCAATAGAAAGGGTCTAGTAAACCCTAGCTGGTTTGGCTCAGTGGACAGAGCGTTGGCCTGTGGACTAAAGGGTCCCAGGTTCGATTCTGGCCAAGGGCACATGCCCAGGGCTGCTAGCTTGATTCCCAGTAGGGGTCATACAAAAGGCAGCCAATCAACGATTCTCTCTCATCATTGATATTTCTCTCTCTCTCTCTCCCCCCTCTCCATTCCTCTCTGAAATCAATAAAAATATATTTTAAAAAAAGGATCTAGTAAAGATCAATGGGATCAACCTATAGGTGGGAGAACTGGCTCTAGACATTACAATAGGGGGGAAACGATAGACGCCTGCCTATGTTGGCTGGAAGGTCTCATCTGAATGGGGTCTGGACGGGGCGGTAGAGTTGCACCGATGTGCTGGTTTCCTAATCGGAGGTCTGTGTGGTGGCGATGCAGGGAAGTGTCCTTGTGTTTGGGAGGGACGCAGAAGAGAGCATCGTGTCAGAAAAAGAAGGTGGAACAAATGTGCTAAAATGTTAACTGGGAAACTTGGGGAAGGGGGATGTAGGAGTTCTTTGTACTGTCCTTAAAACTTTCCTGTAGGTTTGAAACTATTTCAACATTGAAAAAGAAAAAAGGAAAAAAATACAAGTCTAAAAGCAACTTTTTATTTACAGTATAAAGGTTACAAAGGTATTTATGTATTTATATATATAATACCCTTAAGTTACAAACTTTCATTGTAATATACAATGCTAAATGTCCATGTGCAACTCAAGGGAAAGTGTTGTCTATGCATTTGTATTTATAGAGTACACATACATAAAGCTTTTTTCTTTTTTTAATTAAGAACACAAATACTGCCCTGTTGTACGCCACGGATTTCAATTTGGTAGTCTGGTAGATGCCAGAAGATTTCAAACTTAAATTTTAAACACTTACAAAGAAGTCTTGTTTAAATACAGGGTTCTAAAAAGAAGAAAACCCCAGAGTATCACAAACTTTTAATAATTTGTAGAAGTATCTTAGCTAAGTCTTAATGCTTCATAGAAATGCAAGTTGGGTGGGATAGAGGGACAAACCAGAGTTTGCAGAGATTAGCCAAAACAGAAGGCTTCAAGGTAGCGGCCTGCCACATTATCTGCTCAAAGACCTTGGGTCTGCTGCCAAAAGGGGAACCACTCTCTGGGAACCAAGGTCTTCGCAGGCTGCACCCGCCTGACGCGTTCAAAGGTAACACGCAGCCCCCCTTCCTGGAGGAAAACAACTGGAACTGGATCTCATGAGGGCAGATCTGCTGTAAGTTGTGAAGAGCATCATCAGGGGTGACTGTGCCAAACCCAGAACTTGGCTTTAACAGTTCCCTCTCCCCCAGATTCTATGAATTTAGAAAACAGAGAGGTGAAAAAATAGAGCTGACCCCCACCCGGACAGGACTGAGGAGAGATGCAGTTCTTCCAACCGGGGGAGAGCAGACACGCGACACGTATGTGCTGGTTCCAATAATGATAGTCATTAGCACCTGATTGTCAGAGGGCGGGTTTTGAGGAAAGACCATGACCTACCGTGTTTCCCCGAAAATAAGACATCCTCCGAAAAGAAGACCTAGCGCATGGAAAGATAAGACATCCCCTGAAAATAAGGCCTAGCGCAACTTTGGGAGAAAAAAATTAATATAAGACACTGTCATATTTTCGGGGAAACAGGGTAGTATGTGTGCACAGCTCCAGGACACGTGGACACAAAGGGGAAAGAGCCCATGAGAGTGTTCCCTGTGCCATTCCAATCACATGGCTCAGGCACTTTCTGAGCGTGATGAAGGATGCTACCTGAGAGGCTGATCCTCATGATGAACGGAAGGCAAGCTGGATAGAAAAGGATGTTACTATATAAGAAATAAGGAAACATTCACACAGTCTTTCGTTTTCGTTAGGTGCTCTTTCCACTGAGTTTGCCAGAGTGTCTGGAACAAGTGGAATTTTACTAAGTTTTAAATATCTTCATTTTGAGCTCTCATTATGAAGAAATACTCCATCCACCATGTATAAGGACTTTCAGCAAATGAGATGTTTAAATGGTGTGAGTGTGAAAATGAATAGGCCAGCACAGTTTAGAAATGGGTGGTAGATGAAAATACACATTTAGCTTTGCTGTTTATAGTTAAAAGCAGCATTTCTTTAAAAAGACTTTCTCATTGATCCACTTTGAGCAACAGAACTTAATTGTTGTTGTGACTCATCTCCCTAAAGGTATTCTACAGTGTTCTCCTTCCCAGACTTAAATCATAATTTTGCATTTAAAAAATTATGTGTAATGAAAAGACCAGCCTACTTAAATGTGCTTGGAATTCTTTCATGCTAGACTGGGCCCCCTTTTAAACATTTTCCAATTTGCCAAATGAGGAGAACTCCAGATGTACTTTGATAAAAATATGAAGTGGTTAGTTATTTAACCTGATTGACAGATGGCGTGCTGTGACTGAGGACCGATTATGTGCTACGGACCCTTCAGAGTGTCTGTGGAGAACTATACACAAGTGCTTATCAGAGGAAAGACTGCAAGGATTACTATATTGTTAATTAGTCCCGCAATTTCTAAAAATTCTCCAAGCCTCCCAAGTATCTTTCATCTCCTCATAAGAGGCTTCCATCACTTTGGAAGAGGTGATAGAACCGTCAGGTTCAGGGTGTGTATGTGACTGGGACAAAGAGGGACTCAAAAGGAAAAGATCACTGGTGTCAACAGTTTAGAGGTTAAGATTAAGAAAAACTGCCAAAACCGGTTTGGCTCAGTGGATAGAGCGTTGGCCTGTGGACTGAAGGGTCCCTGGTTCAATTCTGGTCAAGGGCATGTACTTTGGTTGCGAGCACATCCCCAGTAGGGGGTGTGCAGGGGGCAGCTGATCGATGTTTCTCTTTTCATCGATGTTTCTGGCTGTCTATCCCTCTCCCTTCCTCTCTGTAAAAAATCAATTATATATATATATAAGATTAAGAAAAACTGAGTAAGCAAGCTACTTAAGGACGCAGAAGTTAGAAATCTATCAGGATAACTTATTTCACAACACAGGGGCAAATGTAGGTTTACAGTTTGTGAGTATAATGAAACAGTTTATTCTTTTATTATTTTATTTTAAATCCTCACCCAAGAATATGTTTTTGTGAGTATGTGGTTTTTTGTGTTTTTTTTTTTAGAGAAGAAGGGGGGAGAAAAAGAGAAAGAGAGAAACGTCGATGGGTTGGTTGCCTCCCATACATGCCCTGACCTGGAATCAAGCCTGCAACCTTTTGGTGTATGGGACGACACTCCAACCAACTGAGCCACCTGGCCAGGGCTATTCTTGTATTGTTATTTATTAATTATTGTATTACTTCAACGAACAACTGTAAGTCTACTTCTGTCCAACCCCTGAATAACACAGAGTATTGATAATTTCTCTATTATAGGTTTTTAGTTTCAATCAATCTATTTTGGGCAATTCAAAGACTACAGCTCATATGGTAGATTTTTGTTGAATATAACTAAGTGCTCATTGGAGAACAAGCAGTTATTTGCAAATGGCATATTTATGCATTCTGTCAAATGCAGATTCGCTTTAAACACCCAGAAAATGCTTTGGTTCAAGAACCTGAAGTGGAAAGGGGAAATAAATGGCAAGAGATTAAGTTCAAGTTTATCAGTTTTGAAACAATAGAAGAAATCTTGTTTAAATACTTTTTCTAGTTAATATAAAATAATCATTTTTCCAGTTGGCAGTTTAGCTAGAGTCAAAAGGACAAGGAAACAGGTATGCTCTAGGCGTCTACTGATTGTACTTTGCGTTAACCTGAAATTTGATCCTTTCAAGGATGAGCTTCTATCTGCCAGATGATTTTGTTTTCTTAGAGAAAGGGTTTCAAATCAGCCGCTTAAGCAGTCTATGACTAGTGTAAAATAAATTTCACCACGAGAATATATATTGATCAACAAAACATAATCCTGATATAAAGCATAATTATTTTAGAACTAACATGACTCATTTATCAAGTGTCTATATACTCAGCACAAAGATGTACCTTAAAAAAAATAAAAATAAAAAAAAAATAAAAAGGGAGAGGGGAGTCTGCTATGTAGGTTTTTAAAGCCAGGATATAGAAAGTCAAAGTAATTCTAGATTTCCAAGCAATTAAAATCGAAACAGAGAGAATCTGCAGATGGCAGATTCCTTTGTCTTCATCTTCAGTAGCCATTGCAACAATTCAAATTTAACTGAAAGGTAGAATATATATCACCTGCCACATAATATACTTGACAAAAATATATATAAGTAGAGTATGATTACACTCAAATTCAACTTAAAAGTTTAAGCATCCCAATTTAAAGAAGTCTCTCTTCTTACACAGATAGTCAGACCAGAACAATGTTTTGAGACCAAAGAGCTCTGGCATTTTACTTCTTCATTAAGGATTGTAAAAGCATGAACTTTGGCTTTCCAACCAGCCATTTTGCTCACGGTGTCGATAGTGGATGGCAGCAACATGGAAATGTATGCTGGATATTTGGATGGTTTAAATATTATGTACAATCAATAGCTTATAACCAGTGAAAACAATAACATAATTCAGCGTTAAGTATCCAAGATAAGATACAAAAAAAGCAGAGAAAGTGCTTAAGTCTACAGGTCTTCCCTGAAGCTTCAAAAATGTTTAACTCTTTTAGTAGGTAGGCCTCTTAATACAATTTGCATAGCAGCTTACAAGGTAATTTGCATTAAAAAATATGGAGATTCTTCCATGTTTTTGAAAAACACACACAAATTATCCACATGCATATAAATTAAACAAGAAGACCTGGAGGTTCTCAGAAAATTAACAAAAAATCTATCATAACCTTTTCTCAAAAGTGGTCACACTTGTTCATCAAAAGCATTTGCACTGATTGTTTTTCTGGAAAAAATATAATCTTATCCAGATTCCACACAGTTGTATTTTTTTTTTAAAGAATAAATTTTGGTTTATTAGCTAAGTGCATTCAATCAGCTGAAGAAAAAAAAAAAAGCTTTGTTACCATTCTGCTTAGGAGGATAAGAGAACAAATAATCAGTAACAACTTTAATCGTTTGTTGGTTGGAGAGATTTTTCCACTTATAAAAATGTAAGAAATAAATAATTCAATCTCTCCTTCCATGCAATAATTTTCAATAACAAAGTTGGTGAGATTTCAGATGATAAAAACAGGCACTCTTAGACTTACCTAGTCTAAAAAGTGCTAAAACATGGCTTTAAAATAAGTGAATGACATTTAATGTAATATTTTGATTGCCTGTATATGCCCCAATATTTAACCTGAAACTCTGTCTACTAGGTAGGTGAGTTTGCAGTTACAAATATCTAATAAATACTGTATAAACATACATTAAAGTATTTCTTCACATAAAATATTAGGTACTAATTTCCAAGTAAGGTTCATTTGATGACTTCAGAAAAGGACTTACCTTTTTCAGAAAAAATAATAACTGAGCCTTTTCTCTGACAGGCATCTGTGTGGAATATGGAGAAGATGTCTAGGCCCAGGTCTTGGGTGGGGGGGGACACTGAATGGGTGGAACATACTCTGCAATTCCTTTACATTCAACACATGGAAGCCCACAACACTCTCAACAATTTTCCTAATTCAGAATAAAAGAGAAATGAAAAATTAGCTGTTCTGTAAAAGATGTGAAATATGAAAAATGCCTACTTTTAGTTATCATTTGAAAATAATTTGCCATGTTTTGGCGTCTAAATACAAAGTACAAATTGATCCTTGGAGAACGTGGGGATTAGGGGTGCCAGCTCCCCAGGCGGTCGAACATCCGAGAATTAACGTTGACTTCCTGAAACCTTAACTGTAGTCGTTCCTTGGTTTTCACAAACCCACAGATGCGCAAGTCCCTTATGCAAAACCGTGTAGAGCAGTGGACACAGTCAGCCTCTTCATATTCCCAACTGTGGGTCAAAAACATGCACGTATTTATCAAAGCTGCCTCATTCACAAAAAAGTACTTCATTTGTGGTTTGAAAGTCCCACACACACACCTAATTGAAGAACAGCCTGGTCATCCGTGGTTGGAAAGCTGTTGAAGGATGTTAAACAAGCAGCTTAAGGGCTCTTGCTCTTGGGGGCACAAATGGTCACAGGAAACCTCTCATCCATTTCACTTCACATCAAGACTCAAAACCCTATTAAATATTAAAAACCCTGTGGACCGCGGGGCTGTCCATGGCAGTTAAAGCTTGGACAAAGGGGCGGAAGGGCACGCACTACCTCTTCCTCCCACGGTTTAATGACACCGTTTTCACAGACCTTTTTCATAAACCAGGGAGCAGGTGGCTCAGGAGTTCCCCCTGGAAATCTTTTCAGTGGCTTAGCCTTTCACGCTGTAAAGAAACCTCAACCTAATGGCTTTGCTGTAAGTCCGTGATTACATCGCTCATCTGCTCGGATGAATACTTTCACTGCAGAGAATGTCTAAGCTTCCCTATCGAAGGGTATTATGTATTCAAATTCTTCTTCCAGAAACCACAGCTGGACCTTCAAGGTACTTTGTTTTTCTTCCCTAACTTGTCAACTTAATCCAGATGGAACCAACCTTGGGCTTGTGAATTTTCAAAACATAAAAAGCTCTTGAAGGACATATCCTAGTCTAAGGTTTCAATTTCCAGTTTTCAGTGGCTCAGACAGTTCACTTTTGGGACCGGTGGTGAGGGAAGAACAGACATCTCTCCCCAGCCTCTGCCTGTGGTTAATCTCACTGAACATGGGAAGGAGTGAAGACAATGGGCTTACGACATCTAACTAGAACTTTCTGCTCGACTCGGTTCTCTCACATCCCACCTGTGTCAGCCTGCACTCACACCAAAGAGCCGTGTGCCGCACACACCGCTGTTTTCTTTCCCTGCTGGGAGTCTGCCTCCTCCACCCTCTGTAGTGCTCACACCCTCTAGGCACTCCTGATGAACACAGTAAATGAGAACTAATCCCAGACCTTCCTTCAGAGAACAAGGAGAACAGCCAACTCACTGCTCCCTTCTCTTTCAGTTCCAGGGACGGGGCTGACGTTGACATCTTATACAGCTATCACCCTATTTTAAATGGTTTCAGATAGGCGCCTCCTTCATAATCGTAAATAACGGAGTGTGTTCTCCAGAACCACGAAATCAGCACTCTTACTGTAATGTGAACTCATGATGGCATCTGGCAGTGCTTAGCAAAACCCAGGCATCCGTTCCCTGGCCGCCTCAGCCCGCTCACACCAGTCTTGTCCAGACCGCTCCGCCGCCGCCAGGGGAGAGGGCCGGGGCCAGGGTCCTGCGTGGAGGAGCAGAGCCCAAAGCAACTCAGCAATCTGTTTGGCTTCACCCACCAATTCTCCTTTTGAAACGAGCTTGCTGGTCAGGATGCAGCTTCCTCAGCCATCTCCGCCCACGAGAAAGACAGTGCTGAGGAGCTGCCCAGGCTGTTCCCAACCCCGGGACAGACGGCCTCCCCGGGGGCGGCAGTTATTCAAACAGGGATAATAAAGCTCCACGGACCCCAACCAAAGGCACGTCTGGTAAGCAGTAAAAAATGGCGTAGGCTAACATGAGGATTTTCTCATTAAAGTAAATGTCAATTATTAGGTCATGGAAAAAAATAAAATAAGGATTTTCTTTTCAAATAAATCTTACCGCATCCCCTGGCTCTTCCCAAGGATAAAACGAGAAAACTCTCAAACAGATAAAACTTTTCTTTCAATGCAGTGGTTCTGACTTGCTCTTGAACTTGGTCACCACCAGAAAAGGAGTGGAAGGCAAGGCAAATAAAATTCTGCCAGTCCGAAGACCTAACGTAAGCACTGAGAGTGGTGAAGCTGGGGGTGCAGTGGGAAGGGGTGACGGGGGCAGCGGGGGCGGGAGGTAGAGAGAGCCAGGACACGCGGAAGGGCGCTTTGGTGATACAACTCGAGGACTTCCCAGGGCGGGAGGAGCGAGTGGGGACAGTAAACTCCGTCACCATGTACACGTCTGGAAAGACCAAGAAGCTGGGGCTGCTGGAGACTAGCACCTGGGAAGAGAGAGCCTTCCTAAGCAAGAGATCAAAGCTAAGTCTGACACGAATCCCACGGGAATGAGAAAAAGCCCCCAACTTCTTGGATATTTTACTGTGTCCAGAAAGAAAGACAATAAGCCACCCTTCTTAACGGGAGAATCAAACCCAATTACTTAGGAACCACATTAGGAAACCAGCAATAAGTCAACAGGTGTTCATTCTGGAGCTTATTAGAGCCTAGAAATTGTGGCCACGGCAGCTTGTGAAAGGCAGGCTCTTCCTTAACGTGGTGAGGGGTCAGCAGTGATTCGCAGGTCCTTGTCAAGGCACTGTGCTGGAGGAGGGCAAAGAGCTTTCTTTTTGTGCTTTTTTTTTCTTCTCTTTTTCTTTTTGAGGTGGAAATACTTCTTGTGACATTCAAAGCTCTTTTCTGATTCTTGCTGCTTATACAAGCAGTCCCATGCGAGTGACTTTGGCCGACAAGAACGTGTGCAGCACAAATACAATCGGCTTCGGACAGGAGTGCAGGTCCATGGTCTGTGGAGAAAGGGCGTTATCACAGAAATGCTAATAAACAAACATGCAAAAGAAACAGATTTAGGTGTGATGTTGTACTTTTTCAAAAGAACTTAGATAAAGAATGTGCTGGGGCCGAAACCAGTTTGGCTCAGTGGATAGAGCGTTGGTCTGCGGACTGAAGGGTCCCAGGTTCAATTCCGGGCAAGGGCATGTACCTTGGTTGCGGGCACATCCCCAGTGGGGGGGGTGCAGGAGGCAGCTGATCGATGTTTCTCTCTCATCGATGTTTCCAACTCTCTATCCCTCTCCCTTCCTCTCTATAAAAAAATCAATAAAATATATTTAAAAAAAGAAAAAAGAAAGAAAAAAAAAGAATGTGCTGGAGCTACAGAAACTCTTGGGAACTGAAAGCCACAAATGAAAGTGTACTCTGATGTTAGGTTATTCCATGTTATAATTAAATGTTAGTCTGAGGTTCACATCCATAATTAGGATACACTTGATGGTGTACTGGCTTCCACCATGCCTGATAAAACAAAGAAGCAGAGGATGTAAAAGAAAAGAATATCCTATATGAAAACCATTAATTGTAATTATATGCATTTTTGAGTAGGAACCACAGTAAGCTCAGCTGAACTATCACCACCTATGGTATGATTTTTGATGTTGCCAATCCTCACCTGAGGTTATTTTCCCATTGATTTTTAGAGAGAGTGGAAGAGAGAGGTAGAGACACACTGATTGGTTGCCTCCCACGACCGAGCTGGAAACCACAACTGACTGGAATGCCCTTGACCGGAATCGAACCTGAGACCCTTCAGTCCGCGACTGACACTCAACCATTGAGCCAAATGGGCTAGGGCTAGGTATGATTTTTGACACCTCATATAAGTTTGTGGTGGAAATGACAACTCTTGAGGCTAGTAAGGAGGGTTATTATAACTTCCTAAGCACAGGCCTCTAATTTGAACACCTGGCCCCAGATGCATAGGAGACCTGGGGTCTGGCTGCATGAGTCACATTGGCCATCAATCATGGTGGCACTGATAACAGAGACCAGGAATAGGACATGTCTTAATTATGCCTTGTAAAGAAAAACAGGACCTGCTGAAACTGGTTTGGCTCAGTGGATGGAGCGTCGGTCTGCAGACTGAAAGGTCCCAGCTTCGATTCTGATCAAGGGCATGTACCTTGGTTGTGGGCACATCCCCAGTAGGGGGTGTGCAAGAGGCAGCTGATTGATATTTCTCTCTCATCAATGATTCTAACTCTCTATCCCTCTCTGTAAAAATAAATCAATAAATAAAATAAATCAATAAAATATAAAAAAGAAAAGAAAAAGAAAAACAGGACTTGAAGAGCATAGTTATAGAGCATTAAATTCCTAACTAAACTTTGCATACATTAAATGTAAAGCAGGGATTAAAAATATATAAATAGCCGAGAATAATCTTTTTTAAAAATTTTTTTATTAAGGTATTATATGTGTACATATCTTACCATTGCCCCCTGCTGAGGATAATCTAATACCTTGCTTGCTATATGGCTACTGATATTAATAACTGATTACTTTAATAGAAGTTAATTTAATAGAAACTTTTTACTGTCTCTTATACTTCAGGTTTTTGAAAAGCCTTGGTTCATTGCCTACGCATAGTCTCCCAAAGCTTCATCATTTAAAGTAAGATTTCTAGCCCGTGTGCTCAAAATAGATCTAATTCAGTTCTAAAATGCCAAGATTCTGTTTCCCAACTTAGATCTGTTGTGACTGTGTCGATGGACATAAAATTTCACATATAAGACCTGAACTACTGGCTCAATATTGATAAAAGAGAAAAGGCATTGTCTTACTCCTTTATCACAATTTATGATTTCTGAAGTACACTTCTCTAATTCTCTAAAGAGGATCATGAGTTCCTGCTGAAATTTCCTTTAAGGGACAAGGAGGTAAAAATAATAATAATAATAATAATAATAATAATGGGGGCATATCTCGGTATCTTTTTCTTTGTTTAGCAGAATTTCTGTAGCAACCAAGACACCCTATTACTTTTAATTCTTATGCCAAAAAAACTGCTAAATAGCAATGACTAGAATTTATTTAGTATTTAAAATGTTTAATATTTAATATCTTATTTTTTTAAAAACCTATTTCTTAAAAGGGCTATTTTTTCTTTCTAAGATTAAAAAAATACTTCTAAAAAAGGGAATGACTGAATTATTTTATGGTTTAATCCAATTGTTTTGACTATAGAAACCAAATATTTCTTTCATTGCTCCCCCCCCCTTTTTTTTAAATATATTTTATTGATTTTGTACAGAGAGGAAGGGAGAGAGATAGAGAGCTAGAAACATCGATGAGAGAGAGTCATCGATCAGCTGCCTCTTGCATACCCCCTACCGGGGATATGCCCGCAACCAAGGTACATGCCCTTGACCAGAATCGAACCCGGGTCCCTTCAGTCCCCAAGCCGACGCACTATCCATTGAGCCAAGCCGGTTTCGGCCATTGCTCCCCTTAAGGATCTGTACTGTCAAAACTGCTATTATTGTTTATATAGTTGCATGTTAACATTTATTTGTTTTCAGACTTTGTAATTAAAATATGACTATTTTGTTATATGGAGTAGTTAATTTTCATCTAATAAAAGCATAAATGAAATATGTTATCGATATATCTTACATAAAAAAAAAGGGGGGGGAATGATTTCCAAATGTGGAAAAGGAAGAAAAAGAACCCAAACCCACTGCATCTTAAAAACTGAAGAACAATTAAGAAGCAATAAATAAGAAAGAGAATAGCTATTAGAATAAACATGTTTTTCAGAAACTCTCTCACCAGTTCTCCCTCCGGACCTCCAAAATCCAGATACAGGTTTCTGATGCCGTCGTCAGCAGACATTTTCAGCCTTTCGAAGGGGTAGCGGTACAGCAAGCTGCTGGAGGCTCCGTTTTCCCTGGAGATCGTGAACCCATTTTCGTAGTGGACAGTGAGTCTCACCTCTTGGCCGTTTAATGTGCAGCCTGTTGGAGATAAGCAAACGCATTGTTAAAGTTCCTGCTTCAGCTGTCAGGTGGAAAAGGATTCTTGTGACTTCACAAAAAGGAAACAAAATCTTTTCTTTAAGAATGCTTGTTACCTAACCTATTTGGAACCTCCTACAGTGAGTTTTGTTCTGGTCACTCAAGTCAACATCTTGATTGAGATAAGGAAGAAATTACCATAACTCTCCCTGAAATCTGATCTGATTCAGTTCAATGAGTGACAACTGAACCCGTGCTGGCAAGAGCCTGGATGTGGTATTGGAGAAGCCAGAGGCGCAGTCCTTGCTCTCAAGGACCTGGTAAACCAACAGGCATAAACATGGAACCTGTGTGTAAAGCAGAATGCACAGACATGACTAAACACCGAACTGAATAAGGCCCAAGTCAGGGAAGGTTTCCTGTAGGAGATGGGACTTCAGATAGGCCCTAAGAATAGACCTAACCTGACAGGCAGTGAGGAATAGGGAGAGGTTTCAAGTGGGCAAGGATAAGGAACAACTGAAAGATGCCTTTGAGGAAAAGAACAGGGTTTGGTTGGTATTTGGGAAGAGGATAAAGGTAATGTTTGTTTTTAAATATATATATATTTTATTGATTTTTTACAGAGAGGAAGAAAGAGGGATAGAGAGCTAGAAACATTGATGAGAGAGATTCATCCATCAGCTGCCCCCCGCACACCCCTACTGGGGATGGGCCCGGGACCCTTCAGTCCACAGGCCGACGCTCCATCCACTGAGCTAAACCGGTTTCAGCTAAAGATAATGTTTATCAAAGATAAGGGCTATCGAGCCCTCATCGGCCTGCAGACTGAAGGGTCCCAGGTTCAATTCTGGTCAAGGGCACGTACCTCGGTTGCAGTCTCCTCCTGGGCCCAAGCAACCGAGGTAGGTGCCCTTTCTACCAGTCCCCTCTCCCCTCTTCACAGCAAAACTTCTTGAAAGAGCTGGTCTACACTCAGTCTATCCACATTTCACCTCCCATCCCATCCTCAGCCATCACACCACAAGCATCTCTCCCCCAGGGCACCAATTATCTCCATGTTGCTAAATCCGACCTGTTTCTCAGGCCCTGTCTTACTTGATACTAGAGTGCTCATTGTTGGCTGTCTACCCAGCTCCTATTTCTCCATTCTTCCTTTACAGCCAAACCCCAATTTTATTCAGGTTTCTCTTTTCTCCTAAAGTGTTTCAGGGAAGGGTGACCTCAACGTCAAGGGCAGACAGCCTCTGGGCCAGGCAGCCTGGCTTTTCCCTGGTGATTGGCGTTGGTCGAGGGTGTGCCTAAGAACCAAATTGACTCAGATAGAAAAGACCTATGACTGGGAAGAGAAAACACAACACCACCTCCTTTTACTCTTGTTCCTCTCTTTTATGTAAAAGAGTACATTTCTCCAACGTTGAATCTACTTTTAGAGGATATTTTCTATTAATTGCACCCTAAATCATCCCAACTGATACATTTAACCCTACTGGCCATTCCCCTGCTCGAATACTCTTCCTTTGGTACTTACTGTCCCCACCCACCCTGGTTTTCCTTCTACTGCCCTGGCTACCACTTCACAATCTGCTAAGTGGAAGGGACATTGGCTTTTTCAAACCACAAGGATACTGTTGAATATAATGACATACATTAAAGATAATTTTCTAAGCAGCTCCATTAATACAAAAAAACAAAACAAAAGAGGAAGAAAAGCTCATTAATTAGTAATATATCTATTAGTGTTACACCAAGATAAATACTGGTAAGCACAACTTGTGTTTTCTACCTGTGTCTTTCTAAGTGGTTACCAGTGTATCACGAAGGGCAAGGACCCTGATGTCAAATAGCTTCTACCCTGCAAATCCTGTCCCTGCTGCTCGGGGCCGGTGAGATGGGAGGAGGACTCTGGGGGTGCCAATGTTCCCAGCAAGACCAACTTTACTTTAAAATCATTTTTCATATTTTCAGCTCAAAATATTCAAGAACACCCGAATTGTAACATATTTATTTTTATAATATTCAATGGAACAGAAGGTGGTAACGTGTATCTGAAGGACATGCTTGTGTGTATATATGCAAATGTGTGTGCACACTAAGCACACACACATTAAGACAGCAGACTAAGTGTGCATACATGCGTATGTGCATGTACACACACACACACATACACATACACACACATGTTTTACAGAAACTCTGACCTTCACCAGAGCAGTTTCCCTCAGCTGGTTTAATACACCTGGCAGACCTCTAGATACAGAGTAAGTAAGTGATTAACAGGTTTAGCACATCAGTTGACCTGAACTGTGAAAATAAAAAAATTACCAAGGTAATGGTTAAAAAAGGCTGTGAATGAGAACAAAAAGTTAAAAAAATCTACCTAAAAATGTTTCTTTTGTCTATTTAAAAATATAAGGAACCAACAGGTTTTTATTCTCCTTCTCCTCAAGCCATTCCTTTTCAAACAACTGTGAGCCAGGGACTAGATAGATGTTTATTTCCTGGAAGGTGAAGTTTGGCTCCCAAACACCAAAGAAACAACTCGAAACTAAAAAATTTTAAAAATTCAAGGTGAACGCTTTGCTTGGGAAGCACACCCCTCTGGATCCTCGGAGAAGACCTGATGACCCCGGATGCCAGTGAGGGACCTGAGGGATGCGCTGCCTGTTTGCTCAGGCTCCACACAGGAACACAGAGCATCGCAGACCTTCAGACTGAGGACTGGCCATCCCAGAAAGCACAGTCTGTGGTCAAGATGGAGCCCCACAGCCTTTAATGTGCTGACCAACCACTTCCCAGAGAAAGCAGACAGGAAACTGACCACTGAGAAAGACGGAGTGGATGGGGAGGCTCTGGTCAAAATCCAGAGTGGGTTCTTACTATCACTGGCGTTGCTGCTTGGATTGCCACTGTGGCTGTGAGGACAATCTCGAGGTCCTAAATAGGTGAAGATCTGCACTGTGTGACACACTAAAAACTGTCCCTGCCCTGCACGTCTACAGCCATGGAGCTCCCTCGTCTTCAAGAAGCAAGAGAAAGATAAATCACAAGACTTTCTGCTCTTGAAACATTTTCTCTTTTATAAATTCTGTAAAACTAGGTCTATAAAATAAAATCTCGGGTAAAAGCAGCAAAATGAAGTAAATCAACTTAAAATCAAGATATTTAAAGCAATTCAAACTATATTAGAAACTGTAATTGTATATTAATTTTGATTATTCTCTGTTCTTATTAAAAGGAAAGGCAATCTGGAAATATCTGTACATATATAAGATGCATAATACACAAATACTGTGTATACATATGAAACCACCCCCCAATCATATAGACTCGCCACAAGAGGGCGCTTTAAGAATGGAAAGAGATCACCAAAATCAATTCCTTCAGATGCTTATTTCAGTATTGAGTATACATCTTCAAACTTTTGAAGAGAAACGTGTATTCCAAATTACTTTTCTATAGCCATAAGCTTTTCCAGATGTTTTTATTTTAAGGGTATCTATCTATATCTTAAATTCTAAATCTTAACTAGAGGATCAATGCATCCAGTACTTGGTAAATGAGTCTTTATATTATCAGACATATTAAAAGGATAAACAGTAAAACTGCCATCTTGTACATAGGGTTTTATGAATTAATTCAGAGCCATGTACAAGGCTTGGAAAAACTTTGCTATTGAAACAAAGAAACCAGGTTTCTTTCTATCATGTTCACTTTAAGCTGCCATATTTCAGAACATTTTAAAGTCTGGTACACATGATAATGAACTGTACTTTATGTATAACAACAGTTCCATTTAACTACAGTTAGAAGTGAAATGCCAGAATCCATACCTAGAGAGACTTCCTTGATCAGCTCAGCAGCAGCATGGCAACCCTGAACCAGTATCCTGGTCCAGGTCGACAGGTCCCGATGTGTCTCCACCCTGAAGAGATGCATCTCAATGCCCTGCCGAGAGCCTGTCCTGGTAGCAAACGTAAGGTCAGAACCAAGTGAGGGTGATCGACATCCGGAGCCAGAATGAACCAACCTAGAACCACAAACAGAGCAAAGATGAAAAGTACTTAATGTACTGTCAGGGAAGATGCCAGCAATTTATACTGACTGATAAGCAGAAAATTATAAAAGCCATCAGCAGTGTTTGGAGAAGTACATTTCAATATAAGTAGATACCATTTGTTTTCCCATAAAATGACCCGGGCAGAACACTGGGCTTGTGGGCAAAGTCTCCAATTTGCCACTGGCATTTTTATGCTCCCAAGAGGCTATGCATATCAATAAAAGGTTCAATTATGTTTAGGAAATGATAAGCCCCTACACATGCACAGCTGCTCTATCAACCTCACTCATGAGATGTGTGTGTGTATGTGTGTGTGTGTGTATATATATATATATATATATATGTATATATATATACTTACAGATAAACCTACAATGACACATCATAATCACCCAGAGTCCATAGTTTACTTTAGGCCTAGACAACGTATGATGACATATATCCATCATTACATCATAGAGTATTTTCACTGCCCCCAAACCCTCTATGTTTTGCCTATTCATCCTCTCCTTCCCCCCAACAACCACTGACCTTTTTATAGTCCCCAGGGTTTTGCCTTTCCCAGGATGTCATATTGTCAGATGGGCTTCATTTACGTAGTAATATGCATTTAAATCTCCTCCATGTTTTTTCATGGCCTGATAGCTCATTTCTTTTTAGCTCTGAATAATATTTCCTTGTCTGGATGTATCAGCAGTTTATCTACTCGCCTACTGAAGACATCTTAGTTGCTCCCATTTTTGGCAACTATAAACAGCTGTTATAAACATTTTTGTGCTGCTTTAACATGTTTTCAACTCCTTTCGGTAAATATCAAGGAGTGGGACATGGTGAAGGTGGGGGTGAGGGGTCTGCAAAAAAATATATATATATCAAGGAGTGGAACTAATGGATTGTATCAGAAGAGTATGTTTGTAAGAAACCACCATACTGTCTTCCAAAGTAGCTACACCATTTTTGCCTTCCCACCGGGAATGTATGAGACTTCCTGTTGCTTCACATCCTCACCAGCATTTGGTTTTGCCAGTGTACTTATATTGGTCATTTAAATAATTGTTGAGGTATCTCATTGTTTTAATTTTCATTTCTCTGATGATATATGTAGAGCATATTTTCATATTCTTATTTGCCATTTCTATATCTTCTTTGTGAGATGTCTGTTAAGGTCGTTGGCCCATTTAAAAAAAACAAAACATTTTTATTGCTTTCAGAGAGGAAGGGAGAGGGAGAAAGAGATAGAAACATCAATGATGAGAATAATTGATAGGCTGCCTCCTGCACGCCCCCTACTGGGGATTGAGCCCGCAACCTGAGCATGTGTCCTTGCCTGGAATCGAACTGGGACCCTTCATTCTGCAGGCCAAAGCTCTATCCACTCAGCCAAATCAGCTAGGGCTTGCCCACTTTTTAAACTGGGTTTTTTGTTTTCTTACTGTTGAGTTTAAGAGTTCTATGTATATTTTGGATTATCAGTCATTTATCAGATTCATATTTTTTTCTCCTACTCTGTGGCTTGTTTTTTCATTCTCTTACCAGTGTCTTTCAAAGAGCAGAAGTTTCTAATGACGTCCAACTTATTGATATTCTCTTTCATGGAAAATGCCTTTAGTGTATTATGCTGGATCATCTACATTTTCTCTTCAGAAGTCTTTTAGAAATTTTACACTTTTGCATTTTACGTTTAGATCTAAGATTCATTTTGACTTAATTTTTGTGAAACAAAAAAACAAAACGGGCAAAATACTCACTTCTTGGCATATATACCAAAGAACTGAAACCTGGCTCTGAGTAGATATTTCACACCATGTTCACTGCAGCATTAGCCACAAAAGCCAGGAGGTGGAAGCAATCTAAATGTCTCCTGACGCATGAATGGCTACAGAAAACGTGGTGTCTACACACTACCTACTAAGTCTTAAAAAGAATGAAAACCTGTCATATACTAAAACACAGATGAACCTTGAAGGCACTGTTAAGTAAAATAAGCCAGTCACAAAAAGACTAATACTATTATACATGACTCTAGTTATATGAGGTATCCAAAGTAATCAAACTCAGAGAAACAGAAAGTAGAATGTGGTTACCAGGGATAGGGTTAGATGGGGAAATGGAGTTTCAGTTTTGAAGATTAGAAAGTTCTAGGGATTTGTTGTGCAATAATGTACATATAGCTAACATTACTTTTTCACACTTAAATAGTTTAGTTGATAAATATTGTTATGTATTTTGTACCACAATTTTCAAAAAATCATTGGAGTTAATAACACTGAAAACAAAAGGACAAAAGTCTGAAAAGCCACCTCATCAAAGAGGATATACAGATGGCAAATAAGCATATAAGAAGATTTTTCCATTAGGTACGTGGAAAAGAGTGCAAAAAGAAAAGGTTTGTCAGGGAAACACAAGATTTGCTTTTAGAAATATTAAGTCTAGGGTAGATATTAGATATTAGGTTTGTAGCCAGAAAACTAAAAACATATGTTAGCACAAAAACTTGTTCACAAATGTCCATAGCAGTATTACCTATAATAGCCCCAAAACAGAAATAACCCAAATGTATATCAACTGATGAACGAACAAACAAAATGTGGTATATCCAAACAATGGAATATTATTCAATCATAAAAAAGAATGAAGTTGTGACACCTGCTATCATACAACCTGGGTGAACCTTGAAGACATAAAATGTATAATTCCACTTACTACATGGAGTAGGCAAATACATAGAGAGAGAAAGTAGATTTGTGGTTGCCTAGGGCTGGGGGAAGGGAAAAATGAGGTTACGAGTTTCGTTTGGGGGTGATTAAACTGTTCTACTATTTATTATGGTAATGGTTGTACAACTCTGTGAACATACTAAAAATCATTAAATTTTATACTTTCAATGGGTGAATCACATGTTATGTATATTATATCTCAATGAAACTGCTAAAAAAAATGAACAGTGAAGTACACATGTGGAAAAAAAAACCAAGAGAAAAGTAATTTTCCTTAGGGTCATTAAGCTATTCAACATTTTGTTTCATGGCAACCAGTTAATACAGTTCAATTTATTCACTTCTTCCAAAATTTTTCCTATAAGTTCTAAGAAGATCTGTATATGAATACAAACATACTTCCTCACTTATTAGAAATCCAGCCGACAATGTTTTCCATACAGAATTTTTAAAAACTTGACTAAAAAATGTGCAGTAAAGAGAAAAAAATGGCTTGTTAGCTTCATGGTAGGCTATATACCTATAATATTTCTACGAATTTGCTGGTTCCTTCCTTCCTCTCACAACCTGAGCAAGAACACATCTAAGAGCACATGGGTGCTCCTTTACATTCTCCTTAGTTGTCAGGGAGTCACTATCGGCTCAGATAAAAGCCAAGAGCGCATCTCTTAAAGGCAATTTCTTTTACCCACTAACTGACTTAACCAAGTTAATTACTATAGTTCTCAACCCTGGCTGTACACTAGAATCACCTGGTACACAGCTTTTAAAAATGATGATGCCTGGCTCACATCCTCAACAATTCAGACTTAACTGGTCTAGGGTGTGGCCCAGGAAACTTTATTTTATTAAAAATGTTCCAGATGGTTTAAGTGTGTAGCTACAGTTGAGAAGCACTAAACTAGTGGCTTGCCAACATTTTTGTCTGAGTACCCTTCTATACTCTTAAACACTACTGAGTACTCTAAAATGCTTTTGTTTATATTTGTTATTTTTATTGATAATTAGAAATTAAAGTGCTTTTGTTTGCATCCATTATATTTATACAGTATGAGTTAGAAAAGGAAGTATTTTAATAGCCTTTTGAGATATTTGTGGATATCCTCTCCACTGAACCAAAACTCAAGTGCTTTCTTTAAAAAAAAAAAAAAATTTTATTGTTTTCAGAGAAGAAGGGGGGATGGGGGAGAAAGAGAGAGAGAGAGAGAGAGAGAAACATTAATGATGAGAGAGAATCACTGATTGGCTGCCTCCTGCACACCCTCTACTGGGATCGAGCCTGCCACCCGGTCATGTGCTTTTGACCAGAATCAAACCCAGACCCTTCCGTCCGAAGGCTCTATCCATTGACCGAAACCAGCTAGGGTTTAAAAAAAAAAATTTAAAATATATTTGTATTTGTTTTGCAGAAGAAGGGGGAGGGAGAGAGGTAGAAACATCAATGAAAATAGAGAATTATTGATTAGCTGCCTCCTGCATGCCCCACACTGGGGATTGAGCCTGCTGCAATGTAGGATCTGAAACCTTATCAATAAAGTTAATATCATGTTACATTAAAAACCCACTCTTCCTTTGCATTTTAAATGGAACTTTTTACATGCTTGAATGATTTTGTAGCATCATTCATTGGTCACTTGGAAAATAATTTTTCACTGAGCTATGCAGATTTTCCAAATGTTTAAACCATCTGGTTATATAATATCAAAAAGTCACATTTGCTAACACCACTACTGATCTCATCAGAAAATTCTTTAGGTACTGGAAAGCTGTCAACTCACAGGGACAGACACCAGTTTTTCAGAATTCTAATTTTTGTTTGAAAGCTATAATTTTATACTTGACAACAAATACTATCTGTGTTTTTCTTAAGTGACAAAATCATTTTGGTCATTTTAGAGAAAAATGTCTGACGAATACCCAAGTTTGACTTACCATAGTTTGTCAGCCAGTTGTTATTTCAATTAAAAAAATGATGTTCTGCCCTAACTGGTTTGGCTCAGTGGATAGAGCATCGGCCTGCAGACTGAAAGGTCCCAGGTTTGATTCCAGTCAAGGGCATGTACCTTGGTTGTGGGCACATCCCCAGTAGGAGGTGTGCAGCTGATCAATGTTTCTCTCTCATCGATAGTTCTAACTCTCTATCCTTTTCCCTTCCTCTTTGTAAAAAAATCAATAAAATATACTTTAAAAAAATGATATTCCATGAAAAACACAGGTAAACTCACAACTCAAATACACATGTGCTTTTCTTTT